TCGGCGAAACTGTGAGTGAATGATTCGATCAAGACACAACAGATAGAAATCTGGTCATCCTTCTTAATTAGCAGCGATTCATTGCATTTTCACAATGTGTATGTGTGTAATTTTATATTTTGTGTAAATTTAATACGTGTCATTCATGTTGAGACAAGGTTACTTACTTATTATTCTATTCTAAATTACTTACCTACTTACGCCTGTTACTCACAATGGAGCATAGGCCGCCAACCAGCTTTCTCCAACCCACTCTGTCTTGTGCCTTCTTTTCTAGTTCTACCCAGTTCTTGTTCATTCTTCTCATGTCCCCTAGCAGTGATTAGGTGGAATCTCTTCGGCTCTTTCTGTGCTTCTTGAGGCTTCCTAGAGTTTAGCAACGAGCCATTCTTACATTACTATTTTTCATACTGTATATGGACCAAATTCGATCTTTGTGTTTTTTCCTATCACCATAGCTAATGCGAATATATATTCGACTACTTTGGTATTGCTTTTATCGATTTAATCTCAGTGTACTGACTCCCGTATGCCCTGGTACGGCTGAAGGTGAAGAGAGTTAGCTCTTCCTCTCCAAATGCTCTCACATGGCTACGCGTATGTAGTCACTTCCACGGAAGTTCTACTCACTGCCTTCTTTTAAAAGGGGGTTTTGTCCGATGCTTTAACCGGGTTGGTGGACACTGTGAGACCACGGAGGGGAGTTGGGAAACCCTGATTTAAAGTCAATGGTGCACATGGGCTCCAGTATATTGAGGAGACAAATGGCGTATCAATCAATCGTTTGTCACCGGCTAACTCACCTTAACTCATTTTTTTGTGTGTATTGTTTTACACTACTTACTAATATTCAGTAATTAGTTGTATTGTTAACAATTTCCACGGGCATGTTGTAACGTGGTGGTATTTTAAAATATTCGCACATCATTTTAACACAACAGTTTCTATATTTATTTGTATTTGGATCCATTTTTTTCTCCAAACACTTTAATTTCAAACTTATAGACGCGCCATGCACAACAGATACCTCATGAGTTGAGGTTTGTAAAAATTTATTTCTATTCCTCTATAAAGAAACGTCTTTAGACAAATCGTTGTTTCGCAAATTTCGGTTTCGCATGTATCTTAATCGTATGATAAGACACTGGTAGATTTAACACAACTATTGAAAAAGCAGCTAACTGAATAGTTAGCAAAGATGGATAATGGCTAGCATCAGAATCCATGACGCGCATTTCGTCCTATTTGGGACTCGTCAGTTGAATGTACCTGCATCTCAGGGTTAATATTCACTATGGGATTCAAACCCAGTACCTTTGGCCACTTGCTTGTGCAATGGGGTGAAGGTACTGGTTTCGAGTCCCAGAGTGAACATTCACCCTGAGATGCAGGTACATTCAGCTGACGAGTCCGGAATAGGACGAAACGCGCGACAAACTGGATTCCACTGCTAGCCACTATTCATCTTTGCTTACCATGCTTGTGAATTTAGGCTATATCGAGGCGAAACGCACAGTATCCACATATGCCAATTAGAGACTGACCAGTTGCAGTCCTAGAACATCAATGGGAAAATTCAAACAAACAATACTTAGTGAATTTAATTGGATAGTTGTATCATTCAAGTAAGGGATTTCTTAATAATGCACACTCATAACTCTAAGAGGAATCGCGACCGGAGGCTTCAAGTCTTTTGATGAATGTTTAACCATTTTAACAATTGATTCTGGGTTCATTGACTTAATTTTAACTTCAAGCAATTTAGAATAGATGTGAGGGCGAGGATCGGCAAAGCAAGAGCAGCATATTTACAACTGAAGAACATCTGCAACTCAAAACAATTGTCAACCAACACCACAGTCAGAATTTTCAATACAAATATCAAGACAGTTCTACTGTATGGGGCGGAGGTGTGGAGAACTACGAAAGCCATCATCCAGAAGATACAAGTGTTTATTAACAATTGTCTACGTAAAATACTTCGGATCCGTTGGCCAGACACTATCAGCAACAAGTTACTGTGGAAGACAACAAATCAGATTCCAATGGAGGAAGAAATCAGGAAGAAGCGCTAGAAGTGGATTGGGCACACCTTAAGGAAATCACCTAATTGTGTTACAAGACAAGCTTTCACATGGAATCCTGAAGGCCAAAGAAGAAGAGAAAGATCAAAGAACACGATAAGCCGAGAAATAGAGACAGACATAAGAAGAATGAACAAAAATGTATTCACTATTTGTCATCGCTTAGATCCTGAAAAGTGAAATCATTCTATATATGTTGTTTGGCGAATGAACTCTTTCTTCTTGAATCGTATTCTCTATGTCTATTTCTTTTATTGTCACTGATATTACTGTTATGCAGTAGCGAAGACATAAGTACGGGTAACCTGCAGGGCCTACTATTGGACTATCATTCTTATTGTATAACTATTCAGTAACTAGATTATCTATATCGATATTCATTTTATTGTGAGCTTCATTTTGACCTATTGATTATTATTGTATGATTTACTGTTCCTAAGTTATACTCAGTTTATTGATTATTGTCTCCCACGCTTACAGACTCATTTGGCTTGATTTTGTACAAATGTTACTTTCTATTATATGGTATGATGTGGCCTGTCTGTCTGATATATAAACAAAGTATGCTTGAAATAAACGATTCGTATTGCCGAGGCTGCTATTGGTGTTCTGGACTCAAGTGGACGGGTTAGGCGGATAAGGACCAATAAGGACGCTAGATTACTCATATTAATCGAACGTCATTGTCACAGTGTGAAGGTCGTAGAAGGCGTATTCTATTGGTGGATAATTTACGCGGATTACGTCCTTGTTAAATTCGTAAGGTCATAACGAATCAGCGACGACCTTGATCAAGTCATAACAATTGGTTACAACCTAGGTCAAAAACATAACAATTACTACTACGACTACGACTACTACTACTACTCCGATATCCCGCTTGATAATATCACCTAGATGTGTTGGTTCGTTGTTGAAAATCGATCTTATGCATACATGTACCAGGTTCTACATCATCTCTGGCTAGCTGATTGATTGAGTATTCCTTGTTTCCTCGAGACCTTATTTATTCTAATGTCAAAAACAATAAAAACTATAGACTATTGTGGTTAAATAATTGATTTCAGATGAATAGATTCATCGTAAGATAGAGATGGATAAGTGATAAAAGTACTATAACTTTCAACCCGGTAGTAGATCAGAGATTGATGTTGTTCAGTCAGTCAGCTACAACGTAGGACCTGGAACATATATGCATCGGTCCAAGTTGCCATACCTCGTTAGCACAACAAGATGAACACCGAATTCATAGAAGTGGTTAATTCAGTGATGGTAGTATATAAAAGATAGGTTGTATATAAGGATATAGTATAGGAAGGAAGAACGTTATGAAGCAATTTTAATCTTAAGGTTTAAGGGAAGATAAAGAGTGTATACACCTACGCTATTGTCATCGATTCTGAGCCATGTTACCTAGAGTCTCCAACCATTGGTTACGATAGTCACGCGGACCTCAACCAGGTAGTCTGCATCTGCCAAAATGGCTCAGATTATAAGTTAGTGACTTCAAGCACTGATGCCACTTTTTGGTTTGGCCACCCCTAACTCTCTTCCAACCATCCCCTACACTAGTCAGCATAGCGCGTCGTGGTAATCGGTGTTTAGGCATACGTAACACGTGGCCTAACCATCTCAGTCGATGAAGATTCATCACCTTATCGATGTTGTTCAGAAGAACAATGAAAGCTCCACGATCAAACTATCCAACCTTTACAGAACAAGACTCTACATGAAATACAAATCTTTTCTGTCGTATCATTCTTATATTGTTCTAACTACAAAATTTCTATTAATTTTTTTATTGTTAATGCTTTATCATAAGTAGTATATAACACTGGTCAGGAATAGAATGTCCGGAAGCAGAAAGTAATTGGTATGGAAATGCAGGAGCGGTGAAGACTGCGACGATTGACTGATACTTTGCAAAAGGAACAGTCAAATTGAGACAATTGATTGATACTTTGCAAATGAAGTATTTACTCACAATTGATTGGTCACTGGGTGATGATCAATGTCATGCGTGTCAAGTTCTTTTTAGTGCTGGTCGAATGTCATCGATCAAGTTATAATGTGGTCACTAGTCTAGGTGGCTTGACACAGCATGCACTATGGTGGGATAACATGGTTGTTGGAGGTAGTCAACAGGAAACCCTGGACCCGGGTTTCGTGCTACTTGGTACTCGTCGGCAAGGTGTACCTGTAATCCTGAGGGAAATGGTGCTGTATGGTTTTCAAATTTTACTAAGATGTTCTGAATTTTTGTATTCTAATACATTCGATTGTCCCCATTTGTGTTTTCCTTCACTATAAATGTACGATTACTCAAGAGGTTATTGATTTGAAAATTAAAAAGTGAAATATAAACCAATATGAAGTTAGGGCGTTAGGCATTAGATATAGGGTTTTTATCACTAACTGACATCAGCTATAATGTCAACATTCTATTTAGCCAAATGGATGAATGAATTTCACGCAAACATTCAAGACCTATTATTTTTAATCTGATTATAGTTTCATCATCATTGCCCCCAAATGACCTGGTACGGACGAAAGTAGGAAGAGTACGCTCTCCATCGAAAAATGCTCTAACATGGCCACGCGTATATAGCCTATGCCAGGGAAGTCCAACTCACTGCCTTCTCGTGGCAGGAGTGTTGTTCACGAAAGTGAGAGGACAAAAAGCATATGTTCGGCGCTTTAACCGGGTTCGTGGACACGCAAATTCCATCTAGGGGAGTTGAATAACCCTGATTCCAAACCAATGGTGCCCATAGGCTTTAGAATCCAGAAGGAACAAATAGCGTATGAACCAATCGTTCGTCACCGTCTACCATTAGGACTGCATCTCCTTACGATGCTCCATTGCTTTGTGAATCAGATCTTTAGATCAAATAAATCATCATCCTTAGGATAGTTTTATTGAATCAAAGAATAGGATGAACTTACTTCTGGTATATAAATCAACTTCTTTTCTATATCATTTCCATAGATAATACCATCTACACATGTACCATATTCACTATAATTAATTAATTCATAATGTTGGGTCCAATCATCATAGAATATTGTAGCACGATGTGGTGATATAAATGAACATTTATCATTATTATTATATGTTGAAGATAAATTATAATTAGCTAAACATAAATGACAATCTGGTGCTATAGAAACAAAAAAAGAAGAAGAAGAAGAATGTAAATGAAGGAAATTTGAATAGTTCATAATCGGTTGATGATCAAAGTTAACAAATATAAGGCCCTCGAATGTCCTGAAATGGTCGAAGGTAAGGAGAGGCAGATCTCTCTCACTCTCGAGAAATGCTCTCACATGTCCACGTACACATAATCATTGCCAGTGAAGTCCTACTCACTACCTTCTTGCGGAAAGGGTGTTATTTACGAAGTTAAGAGGATGAAATGCGAAACTTCGACGCTCTAACTAGGTCAGTGGATACGGAGAGTTCACCAAAGAGAGTGTGAAAAACCTGATTCCAAGCCAGTGGTGCAAATGGACTCCATTACCCTGAGGGAACAAATGATGTATGAACTTATTGTTGCTGACAGGCTATCATGGGAGTGCATCTCCTGACGTTGCTCTACTGTCTTGTGGATTAGACATGTAGGTCGAAGGCTTTAGGTGCGAACCCCTAAGGAAACCGCCTGATTTAGTTTGAGACCCAGTCAGTATTGCAGCCGTCATACAAATCGAATGTTGAAGTGTTGTGCATATCTATTTGGTGCCTCCTTATGTGTCTTAATAAATAAATAAATAATAAGTATACAATGTACTCTGAATTATTTAACTGGAAGAAATCTGTGTCTGAAACCATTAATTGTAGTAAGATGTAAGAAATAGTTAGGAGGACTATATATCTAGTTAGCAGTGTAAGGACTGATGATAATATGGGAGATGAAATGAATCTGGCTGTAAACAGTCGAGTATACGACGGTTATGCTAGGATTATTTACAAGACCTAATACCTAGATGTTCGGAGACTTCTCTTTCTTCGATCAATGTGCTCCAGGATACTGATGATAATTATACTGGTTTTACCTTCATGAAACACTGGTTATGATGTAGCCGTCCCCGATTTATAAAAAATTACCAATGGATGTGTCACCTTACGATGAAAGTTATTTTCATATACAAAATGAATTCCATAAACATTGAACTTTGATTATGAAACTATTGAGGTAAGATGGTGGTTGGAGGTGGTCAACAGGAAACCCTGGAACCGAGTTTCGTGCTATTTGGCATTCGTCGGTAAGGTGTACCTGTAATCTTGAGGGAACTGGTGCTCCCTGGCGGATTCGATCTCACGTCACTCAGCTTCACAGTCAGAGACGCTACCACTGAGCTATTCAGGCCGCGACTAACCTCCTGTAGGATTGAGCTGACGTATTTTCATGAAAATCACACATAACTGAAGGGTATAGAAATAATGAATGTCTGCTAATGACCACTAATGGCAATTATCACTGTGCACAGAGAAATAAAGATAGAATAGAATTAAATAAGAAAAAGAGAATTCAGCGAAGAAAATTTTCTTTTCGACGAAATCATTTACTTAAGCTGTACATTCGTATATATAGCCTCCTATAGACATATATTTTCCATATTACTATATATACGAATGTACAGCTTAAGTAAATGATTTCGTCGAAAAGAAAATTTTCTTCGCTGAATTCTCTTTTTCTTATTCAATGACATTATGAGAATAGAATTACTTTTATAGGTAGTCTTTTTTCTTAGTTGAAATCATGAGCCAATTGAAGCTAGACCACCATGAAAAACCTGGAAGCACTGCATGAAGGCCATTTCGTCCTATTGTGGAGCTTTTCAGCAGCATCCATCCACGATCCCACCTCAAGAGATTCGAAACCAGGACCTATCAGTCTCGCACCAGGGCACTTAAACGATAGACCACTGAGCCGGCATCCAACGGTGTTAATGTCTAACTTCAACCAATCCATGATGCTTGAGCAATCGCTCATCAATTGTCGGTTAAGTGCTCTGGCACGAGAGTGGTAGGTCCTGGATTCAAATCTCGCGAGAGCGGATCGTGGATGCGCACTGCTGAAGAGTCCCATAATAGGACGAAACGGTCGTCCAGTGCTTCCAGGTTTTACATGGTGGTCTACCTTTAATTGACTCATAATCTCAACCTTATGTCTGATTTGTTCACTTTATTTTTCTCCCTAAATTATTTTTCTGGTTTAATGAATTGTCACTTTTAACTGATGAATATATATTTTGTTTTACATGATAACACTTTCACACAGTATCCATGACAATATGAAATTAACAAACTAATCAATATCAGTTCTCTAGGATCTACACTTTCAAGACTTTAACCGATAAGTCTCTGCCAGGGAAGTCCTACTCACTGCCTTCTAGTGGCTGGGGTGTTGTTCACAAAATTGAGAGGACGAAAAGAGAACTTCTGGCGTTTTAACCGGGTCGCTGGACACGGAGGGTCCACCTAGAGGAGTTAGAAAACCCTGATTATAAACCAATCATTCAGGTCAAGGGTTCGGGTGTGGCCCCTTAATAAAACCACCTGCTTCAGTTTGGGTGTCTGGGCAGTATATCACAGCCCTCATACAAATCAAATGAGATTTGTGTGGCTCATATGTATCTTGTGCCTCTTTGTACCAATATGTATGTTTTCAAATAAATAATAAATAATGTTCATTTATTTGCTGATTGAACTCTATTGATCAAGTTCCAATGTAGCCACCACTAGTTCTAATGACTTGATATAGTGTGGACTATGTTTTAATGTTGGATGGTTTGACCGTAATCAGCAGGTAAGTGAGCATCTTACGTTCCATGTTATTTATACCTTGATCAACATAGTTCGATCAGTATGAGGGATTGAACAAACATGACAATATGGTAAGCAAAGATGGACAGTGGCTATCAGTGGAATTTAGGACGCGCGTCACTTCGTCATATTTGGGACTCGTCAGCTGTTTGTAACTGCATCTCAGAGTTGATGTTCACTCTGGGACTCGAATCCAGTAAATTTCTCTTCAAACACCATCGCATTATACACTCGGCCACTGATTCCTGATAGCCACTTGCTTTTGCAAGTCCCAAATAGGACGAAACGCACGTCAAACTGGATTCCACTGCTAGCCACTATTCATCTTTGCTTACCGTGCTTGTGAATTTAGGCTATAATGAGGCAATACGCACAGTATGCACATATACCAATTAGAGACTGACCATTTGCAGTCCTAAAACACCAATGGGAAGATTCAAATAAACAATACTAAACATGACAATACTTGCTATTAGTACGTCATCAATGAATGTAGATATCTCATTCTTAAAAGAAGTTAGTAGAGCTTGAAAAGTTTGACGACAATGTCTCAAGCTGTCAAGCTCAGTAACTAGGAGCAGAATAAGCTTTCTTATTGTAAGGATGGCTCGTTGGCAAATTCAAGAAAGCCTCAAGAAGCCCAGAAAGAGCCAAAGACATTCCATCCAATCACCACTAGGGGAATATTTTAGAATGTCGAAGTGTAGCTTCCCTATTGGATGAATAAGAATGACCCACTATGTGACTACTGGCTATCCGAAATGATGATTTACTTTCAGCCAAATAAAACTATAAAGTATGAAATTAAAAATACACAAAAAAACTTACATGTACCAACAGTTAATTGCCTATAATGCATTCGAGTTTCATATTCATTTGTTCCATCACAAGGTGTTAGGACAGCTCTTGCACGAATACAACTTTCAGGAATATTTAATGCTTTAGAAGAATCTTTCTTTCTTTTACAACTATTCTGTTCAATATTGTCTTGATTAGGTAAAATAGAATTTTGATTGTTAACATCTAAGAGTTCATAAAGACGTTGGGCTGCTAATGTATACAATAACTGAGGATCTAGACGAGCCAATTTAGAAGGGACTAAAAGTATGAAAATAGAATTTGAATATAGAAGGTTATTTTATTTTATATGATTGCTTTAAACATTAAAAACATTTAAAAACTATACATCTCGAAGATTCTTGGTTTAAACCATAACGTAAGAAGGAAAAAGAAAACAGAATGAGTATCATCAGCTGGATGTACCTGCATCACAGAGTTGATGTTTACTCTGGGACTCGAAACCAGTATCTCTCGCTATCAGGACTCAGGGGCCGAGTGCGTAACGCGATGGAGTATGAAGCGAAAGGTACTGAGTTCGAATCCCAAAGTGAACATCAACTCTAAGATGCAAGTACATCCAGCTGACAAGTCCCAAATAGGACGAAACATGCTTTGTCCTGGATTCCACTGCTAGCCACAATTCATCTTTGCTTACCATCTTTGTGAATTTAGGCTATATCAAAGCAATCCTCACAGTATGCAGATATGCCAATTAGAGACTGACGAGTTACAGTCCTAAAACATCAATGGGAAGATTCAAACAAGTAATACTAAGAGAATGAGTATCATTTCATATATTTTGACAATAAGCATAAAGTATAGATTTCACACTAATGAATGAAATGTAATCAACATGTAACATGCCTATATCACTTGTGTTTAGCACTACTCTTAAAACAAATAGTCTAAGTAATAAGATGGTGGTTGGAGATGGTCAACAGGAAACCATCTTATCTCAACATAGTGCACGCAATATCGAGTCACCTATACTAGTGGCCACATTGGAACTTGATCAATAGGATTCGATCTGCACTAAGAAGGACTTGATATACATGACACTGATAACCGCCTAATGATCAATCAATTGTAAAAGTCCGTGTAATGTCAACACGAAATGGATCTGAATAATGTTAGACATGTGCCTAAGTGGATCTAGTAAAGAATTAGCGTCAAGTACCATGAAAAAATAAAGCAACTTTTAGAGGTTGTATAAGCATTTCAAGCCTCTTTTATGCTTACAAAAAAGTCTTTGTTCTAAACATTGAATCTGCCCTGATAATTTCTAATTCATTTTTATTGTTCAGAGTTGTGTGACAACTTCTTATTGTTTGGTTAGTGGGGTTTTGTGTAGACTGGTTTGATCCGTAAGTTGTATTCATCACAGACTGATTTTAGTTGGGAGACCATTGAAAATTAGGGAGCACTGGAAAGTTGTTTCGTGCTACTATGGAACTCCCACCCACCTACCATCCTATTAGGGATTGGGACTAGGTCTAACGGCGAACGTATAACCGTTAAAACTATCGGATTAGCGCCAAATGAGGCAACTTCAGATTCAATCGGTTTAAGATATAGAGCGACGACCATCCAATGTTCTTGTTGATAATTATTTCACTCCTGACAGGTCTGGACCAGTTATGTCATCTGATTAAATCTTTGGGTATATGATGAATTAAGTCGTTAGTGACCTGACAGTTATAGTTAGGTTATATAATCTATAAGTTTTAGTTAGTCATGTACTGAGTCATGACCTTCAAAGTGTGTGTGTGTGCAGCTGAATTATTTGAAGTGTAATTCGCAAAATATATTGTTGAAAGATAATTTAATGAGTTCAATTATTTAAATGCTTAACCTACAATTATTTGCCCCCAAACGCCCTGGTACGGTCGAGAGTGGGGAGAGTCATCTATCCCTCGCGAAATGCTCTTACATGGCCACATGCATGAACACGTAGGGTCCACCTAGGGAAGTTGGAAAACCCTGATTATAAACTAGAGGTGCACATGGACTTCAGTATCCCATTCTCATTGTTATTGTATGGCACATAGGTATCTGGTGCCCCCTCTTGTACCAATATTTATGTATTCAAATAAAAGAAAGAGTTATAAAGCAAAAGATATTTTCTCCTTTAACTTACTACTATTATCATCAGTTATATCATTCAATTTATTCATAACTGTTGTATTCAATTGTTCTAAGGAATGACATAAATCTTCTTTATTATCTTGTATAAAGGAAGGATCTTTGAGTAACTGTTCTGTATTGTATGATAATGTCGATAAACTGCCGCTAATATCCATTTCAATTGAATCTGTAGTTAATTTCAATGTATCAGTGGTCTTGTTATCTATTACGAATGAACTGGATGTATTATCATTATTATCATTATTGAGGAGGTCGTCAATAGCTGTTGTTGTTGTTGTTGTGACAGTAGCAGGAGTTGCTTCAAACGATGATGTTGACAATGTTGTTGAATGAGTAGTGACAATAGTCGAACTAGTATCAGTAGCCGTTGTACTGTTATCTGTTTGTATTAGATTTGATGATGGTGAAAGTAATTTTAATGTATTTTGTAAATAAAATTGTAAAAGGCCACGAACAAACTTTTGGTTGCCAATGAAACAAAGAAAAACATGAATGAAACAAAAGATTAGTAATCAATTGAAGACGATTAGAATCAATAAACGATTGCAGGTAATTGATACTTACTTACTTACTTATGCCTGTTACTCCTCGTGGAGGAGCATAGGCCGCTCACCAGTATTCTACATCCAACTCTGTCCTGAGCAATCCTTTCCAGTTTTTATTCATCCTTTTCATATCTCCTTCTATTTTCCGGCGTAATGTTTTCTTTGGCCTTCCTCTTTTCCTCTTCCCTTCCGGATTCCAAGTTAGAGATTGCCTCGTGATGCCATCTGGTGATTTCCTTAATGTATGTCCGGTTCGCTTGCAACGCCTTTTCCTAATTTCCTCTTCAGCTGGAAGCTGGTTTGTCCTCTCCCATAAAACGCTGTTGCTGATAGTATCCGGCCAGGAAATTATAAACTCGAAATTGAACGATCTTGGCTTGAATCCATTTCGTTGAAGAAATAGCTTACTAAGAAGTACCAACTAGCATGAAACCTAAACGGAATGGGATTTCCTGTTCACTATCTCCAACTACCTGACATCAAGACAATATCTACAACATTTTGAGTCACTTAGACTAGTGTTCACATTTGAATATAATCAACAGAATTCAATCAGAACTAAAGACTAAATAAACATGACATTTATCACAGTTCAGTGACTAATCAATCTTATCTAATTAATTCTGTATGGAGGAATTGAATAAAATAGTTAAGATCATGAGTCAATTGAACCTAGACCACCATGAAAGCACCTGGAAGCACTGCTTTTTGGCCGTTTCGTCCTATTACGGGACTCTTCAGCAATGCGCATCCACGATCCCGCCTCGCGAGATTTGAACTCAGGACCTGCCAGTCTCGCTCCTGAGCACTTAACCGATCAGACATAACTTCATTCTTGAATTCTAGCTTGACTGGATTGGAGGTCCACCCCACCAAAAAGGTGTTATAGAAAAAGCATGGAATGTTTGTAAAGTCATCACCATTATTGGATTCAAGTCCTTGATCAGCTTCGGTACACTTATATTTTTTACCATAATGGAAGACCTAATCTACTGTTGCGGAATTGCTATGATGTGACAATTCTCATGGAATTTTCTGATGAAAAAGGAACACAGAGACGAATGTGATCAAGATTCCAGAACAGTTATTCTCAAGGATTGGCTGATGTACATTGATAAAATTCTGACTTCCTTTAAAAGCTGCATGCTCTTAAAACATTCTGATTAATTTTCACAGAAATATTGTTGCATCAAAAATCTGATGTATTACGAAATATCGGAAGCTAACTATGAATGCAACCGTCCATGAATTCAGTAAGCTATTGGAAAGGTCAGACATAAGAGAGTGCACTCCAAGTAAGTGATATCCCAACTAAGAATAACTTTTTTTCTATAAATTCACAATATTCTTTATACTAATACCAAAAATGACTACTAGAAAACTGCCAGTTGTATGTTCGGAAGACGGTTCAAAGTACTTATAGAATATCTTAAACAACGCAACTGCAGAAGTGTCCCATTAGTAGACCTTTGTTGTCAATTTTCATCCATGAATGAAAAGCAGATACATCTGAATTAAAATTGCTAATCACCTATCAGTATCTATATTACTATAATCTGACGTCATCACGATGCTAAGAGGAATAGAAAATTGACTGGATAACTTAGAACTTAATGACCCCCAAAAGTCATCTGAGTTATTTAGAATGTGACAGTTCTTAATAGTGATTGCAAGTGAATTGAGCAGTGTATCGGTCAACCAGGTGTACAAACTGTTGAGTGAGTATTATTTAACATTTCGCTGTTCAGAAACATACTGACCTGAGAGTAGTGTGATGGATCCCAGCGGAAGAGCTCATTCAAGATATAACAATACGAAAATTTACCAATGATATACCAGAGAGAATCAGAACTGCAGACTGGAGTGTCTGTCTGTGAGTATAGCGAAACGACAACAAATTACAGTTATAATTTGAACAGTATATAATATAACAAAGTGATTGCAGTTGATATTAAATGAGTGTTACTTGTAAGCTGCTCTCTAAGACAACAACCACAAATGAGTTCTCTTCACTAACGAATATTCATCTACACATGGTGGCGTCAACGACGTAGTGAGAAAGATTAAGTTCGATAGTTGTATTCGGCAGTCCGGGCCGAAACTTCAATGTAGCACCGGACAGCATAAAATGATGCTATTTCTTACGTGCGCCTGTTACCCACCGTGGAGGAGCATAGGCCGACCTCCAGCACACTCCTTTTCGACCTCTTATTTTCTTCGGCATGCCTCTTTTTCTCTTCACCTCAAGATTAAAAGTAAGGGCTTGTCTAGCGGTACAGTTACTGTTAGTACACACGAAATTTTTTGTCGTTAAAAGTTGTTTGCAAAGATATGTTATAAGCATCCCTGTTAGTAAACAGGCATTTACCCGCACCACAGAAAATAACAGACGATTTAGTGATGAGTTCAACAAAACGTTTGTGAATATATACTTGTCTTCCTGTACCAGTGGTTTTCAAAATAGGTGGTGGTGGAATTAGGAACTAAACTTAAGGGAGCTGTAACATTAGCATCACCCATTGTATGTGTTGTCGATTTCGCAGAAGTATGTGAAGAACTAGCAGGAAATGCAGGAAGCTGTGTTGTGCAATTGCCACTGTCTTTAGAATGCTTCTGACCGTAATGGGATTCTTGTTTGTTAAAATGTACCAAAGACACACTTCCTTCCTTAGCCTGTGGCCTTGTACGAACTCGCTTACGCTAGGCATTTCCGCCTGTAAACTTTGGCACGTCTCAGTATTCTTTCGATATCACGAGATCGCCAACAAATATATCTTATTTCAACCGTGAAGAGACTTCTGGTTTTTGGCATACCGAGAGATCCGACTCGATACCCGGACCGTAATCGTCCTGTCGTAGTGATCATAGTCAACCGTGACTTGACGCCATCTACGAGGTAATGAGTGAAGACAACTAAAACGTTTCTTCATGTACACTGCTGACACAAATGATTTGTGTGTTCCACAAATTATAATGGAGTCAGAATGTGAAATCGTAACACTGTACAAGAATTTAGTTTGCGAGCAGCAAGATCAGAATCATCCACCTGTAAACGTGTAATGTCCAATCAACTAATTCCTTTGGTGGAGCGAATGGCATCGACATTGAAACGTGATACAGTATTTGCCACAACATTCGATTCACCTTTCATAAATTGTATGTTGGTCTAAAGTTCGGAAAGTAATCTAATTGTCCCATTTCTCGAGGAGAATAACGACCGCTTTTGCCATTAAAGGCGTAAGTCAAAGGTTAGTAATCAGTGAGGATCCCGAAATCCCTATCTTAAAGTAAATGTTTAAAATGTACAACCGCTAAGTAAATAGCAATTATCTCTCTACCGGAAGTGCTGTGCCACGTTCAAATTGGTTCTAGTTCCTTTGGAAAGAAAGCAGGTGATTTGTTTCCATTATTTATATGCCGTTGTAGTACTGCACTTGGTACATCCTGAGACGCACCTGTACACAGAATAATTGTTGCTTCAGGGTCAGTACTTAGATAGGTTAGCGCGTTAGCAGAAGCAACTGATATTTTAGCTGTACAAAAAGCAACTTTCACTTCGGAAACTAATATGAACTTTCTGACTTTGCTTTATAAGGACTCCGTTAAGGGTTGTGGGATGGCTGAACAATGGAGAATAAGCCGATGATAAAAATTAATCATCTCCATGAAACTTTGATGTTTATTCAATGAATCTGCTTCTGTAAAACTTTTGATGACTGCAATTTTTCGGTCTAATGGTTTGATTCCATGTTTATCGTTCGATTGGCCTAAAACGTCTAAGCTCTTGACTCCCAAAGTGCGTTTGGATGGGTTGATAACTGTATAAAATCTACGAAATACTTCAAGTAGTCAAATCGTTAGAATATCTGTGAGACGTTCTTTAATCCATATGGCATTCTCAGAAATTCAAACAAACAAAATGCAGTTATGATGGTTGATTTTGCTATGCCCTTGAATGCTACTGAAATCTGATAGTACGCTCGCACAAGATGGATTTTGGAAAATAATTGTCTACCTTGTAATGTGGGCAAAACGTCGTGTGAAATGGATAATGGGGGAACGATCGGGCAACGTTAAGTTATTCAGTGACCGATTATCACCACAGGGTTGCAAATCCTGAGGACTTGTCTTGCAAGAAAGCTAAGACGTAACTTGATCATTGCATTGAAATGACTTATGTAAATCACCGATGTAGGTAATCTGTGTATATGGTTCCGGGACTGCTCAAGTCAATGGGATATATTTTAACGTCCTAGCTTACGTTGACTTTGTGCCTCGCGTAATACTTGACTAGGATTATGCTATCGTGATAAATAGGCAATCGATTAAAATAAATGCTCTCGCTAGGTAAAAACTTATATGAACACTGAAAGTTGAAGGAAATATTGCCTAATACGCCTGTTCTTTTGATGGGAAAGAGAAACATTCGAAGAAACCAACATCAGTCACATATTGGCTGACTATCTACTGGTCTCCCTATATTTTTTTCAGCTATGTTTATCGACTGGATTTACGGGTGAAGTGTTTTGATTTTCAAATCAGTAGTTTATTCATCTGCTTAGGAAGAATGATTCGTGGGTAAATCATTGAAATTCCAATCACAACTGTGTTCATAATTTCGCTTACACTTGTTCTACTTGTCTATTACAAAGCTGATGATGGTCTATTGAAATGAGGTTTTCATTTGGAAATATATAGTGTATCTTGGTAAATGTTGTTTGTGACATTCACTATATGTAAAATAATCACATTACTCACCATTGTTAGTCTGCTGTTGTCCAAGGATATGGTTACTTCTGAACTGGAAGACAGGATCAAAGTATAATCCGTTATTGACTTGATAGCTAGTGAAGTCACCAAGCGAATAATCTCTCGAAATAATGTGATTATATATAATATACCTGACAAAGTTGCCATCAAAACTTTAAGAAACTCGATACTAAAGGCAGCTAATCTCCAGGACAGTCTATGCCTATGTATCCGACTTAACAAAAAGCATCAAAAATACTCTTGCCCTATCCTATTTAGATTCGATTCCCATTCATTAGCGGAACGTCTGAAAGAATCTGGACAGCTAGTCTGTGCGCATACGAAGTTTAAAAACGCTCGTATAGTCTCAGACAAAACCACTAATCAAAGACTAACACAAAAGCGTACCATGAACGAAAATAACATTGTTGAGGTCACAACAAATGTGATCGCAACAGCAGCCGAACCACCTGGTGCAGCTTATCTATCTCATGTTAGTCAGTGTATTGATATACCAATGCAGTGTGCTAGTTTACCACTCATACCCCTAGTGGCACTAGATAACCAGGACATATCTGATGTAGACTCTAATGTCATTCTTTCCAGTGTAATATCGGAAGCCAAGGATCGAACGCCTGATTCTATTGTGAAGGCTCGTAAAAACAATGCTTAACCTAAAAAGAATATACCAATTTAGAAGAAAGTAAAATAGAAACCTGATTCTAATCCGAATACCGAAAATATTTCAACGGCCTTACCAAACAAAAGTTTAATTTCTGAAACCATGCTTAACCCTACTCATCGTGAGGGAGGTTATAAGGACACATTTCGTTCAAATGTCACACGAGACGGCCACTACAACCATCATGTAAGCAGGCCTACTATTAGACAGACGGCAATAAACCGACGTGCCCCATGGTTTCCCCCAAATGTTATAAATAATAAACCTGCAAGATGTAACTCTTATCATCACTCTTTCAGTGGGGAAGATGGTATACTAGGTTACGCACCATCAACGCAACCCCAACATGTAGGCACCTGTCTTAATTGTCCACCAAAACAAGTACAACAAATTATTCAACCTTACCAAAATAAGGATTTTTTTCGGCCTCCAGAGATCCCTTGTTCCACTAGCACTACAATTCGCTCATGCTATAGCCCATGCGATCCGGAAAACACATTAAACCATAGTCCAGGCATAGCTAGAACTCATACCCTCGATAAAGATGCTCTCGGTTTTTTTACACTACACTCTCCCTTATTAAACTTATTAACGCACGTTCACTTCTGAACAAACTTTCAGCCTAGAGAACCTTAGCCTTTCTAGCCAAGCCTTCTTTTATACTTATCACTGAAACATGGTGTTATCAAGCAGTAGCCGATTCTGAATTAAATA